TAATAATAATATAGTATAGTAGTGTAGTGTAGTGTGTGTGTGTAGTGTCGTGGTTCGGTAGTGTTAGTAGTATAGTATAGTATATATATATATATATATATATATATATATATATATATATATATATATATATATATATATATATATATATATATATATATATATATATATATATATATATATATATATATATATATATATATACATATACATATACATATACATATACATATACATAAACATGTATACATATACAATACATACATATACATAGACATGACTATATATACATATACATGCATATATATATGTAAATATATTTATACATATACATATACATAGACATACATATACACATGTATGTATGTGAATATATACATATACAAAAAACACGTGTACACATATATACGAAAAATATATATACATATAAACATACACATACATATACATATATATATGGTAGGTATCGCCGTAAGCTGTCAAGTCCCATAACCGCATGCTACAGAAAAAATATACACCCGCTCGACCAGGCAATACATCACACTCGGCGACTGAGAAACATAAATATACGACAAAATAGTAGAAGCTAACCCCTCAAGATAACGCAAGCCGGGCTCACCTAACCATCATAAAAAATTACAGCGTGCAATGTTCGTATGCAGCGACAAACTAAACCATACTTCCCTTCACGCTATAAACAATTAAACAAAAGAATCCACTTACAAGGCGCCTTGGGTACTCCAACACTGGGTCTTCCTGGCTTAGTCAACGCCGCCTGCACCGCACTGTTGATAGCGCTGCCGTGCTGTCTCATACCAGACTGCAGATTGCTTCGGAAAATCTTGTCATTGGGGTCCTGAATGGCCCGGGGTGCAAACCCACCCCCACCCCTACCCCCACCACCCCCTCTGCCACGGTCACTGTAACCACCACCACCACCTCTGCCCCGGTCACTGTAGCCTCCACGGCCACCCCGGTCACCACCACCACCCCGTCCACCGCGGTAACCTCCACCGCCGCGACCGCCGCGATCACCCCCTCGCCCTCCTCTACCAGACATTGTACAGATTGGAAGCAGGAGATTGCAGTGTTGTTTTTCTTTGTCGAGAGTGCAACAAGCTTATGCTCTACTGCCTTGTGAGTCAATACACTATAATTTGAGATGTGTAACGGAGTGTAGTGTACTCACTAGCACATATTACGTTAGCGACCGTAATAAAATAGCACGGAGGCCGCACCTCGGATTTTAATATTACACACTCGCACAAGAGACGAGGGATCAAATAAATACTGTTCTTTAGGTCTCTTGCATCTACCCAACTTGGGCCTTGGGAAGTAGGTCCCTTTTCTTTTGTGTGCTCTGTACTATAAATATATCACTGGAGCTGAAATGAACCGGGAATATCTATTCGCCCAGAGAGGAAAACGTAAGCTGTTAAATATACCCTCCACCGGTGAGAAGGGCTACTGAGCAGTACGTTTTGAATTGTCCTTGACGATCAATACCTTTTCACTATATTTTGTGGCAAGTTGTGATTTTTTTGGGGGGGGATTTTTTCAAATTTATACATACGAGAGGCAGAGGCTCTGGAGTCTGGAGAGGCTATGAAATTAGGATAAAGATTTCGAGTAAATACGTAATTGTACATAAACAGCTTTTTTTTTTCTTCACGACCATCTTGATGATGTTTTTTTTTGTTTTTTTGTTTTTTATTTCTTTATTTAAAAAAAAAAGGTCTGACAGTCTGCTGAGACATGAGAAACTGGGGGGAAATTTTGGGCGCTGCCCAGGTTTTAGAATCACAACATAGTTTTTCCTTCACTTCAACATAGTTTTTACTAAACTAATATATCGGAACACAGCAGGATGAGATATAGACAATATTCAATACCAAAAGATAATAAAGACACTTCTTTAGTAATTGAGTTTGTATTGTCCATTAGGATATGGGCCTTTATTCGACATATTTTTTGAATTACATTTATCATGAACGACGACGCTGCCCCGACCACAGTGCTCCGTAGTCGCTGGACACTTCTGTCCCTCAGCGGTGATAACCACGATGACTGGCTAGCCGACCTCCGTGTTGCCACCTCCACCGCTAAACAGAATAAGTTACCAGTTTTCGAATTTATCTGAGAGGGTCAACCACAGACCCCAACTGGACAAACCCCGATTGTGTACCTACCCGCTCATGTTCACTTCCGTACAGCCCAATTCCGTGCAACGACCACTGAAGATAGTACGTATGCCCGTTGTGCTCGTTAGATACACCTCTTTGACTCTTTATCTGATGAACTGCGAAATTCACTTGATCCCGATGAAATAATTTCTGTCCGACCCATGGACACTACTTCAGGTCCTACGATGTCCGCTACTATTGTGATGCCTATCAATTTAGCTTAATATCCAAGACGATGAAAAGGAAGTACCTTCATTTTGGTATAAAAAACCCCATTGTTTGTGTCCAAACGCCTTTTTGCCTTCATTTCATGCCAAATCGAAAAATGCCTTTATTTCATGCCAAATGTAAAATACCTTTTTTTCATATTTTGGAAGATGTGCAGGCCGTGGCCCCGGAGCTGGTGTATGATGACCTGGAGGGTCAGGCGCTTGATGTGAAGTGGAACAGCCCAAAGCCAAGCCCAAGTGTGCCGCGGCTACGTGTCTGGAACGGTCCAGGTCCGCCCGAGCAGCGGGGGGGTCACGGTTGCAGTACAGGGCGGTGGGTGCGGGCGGTCCCAGACGGCTGCGTGCCGCGACCAACCCGCTGGCCACTCTGGATTGGTCCAAGGGTGTGTCGGCCCAGTTTGATACGCACGACATTACCCACAACCATTCAAGTCCAATACTCCACGAAAGTCATTTGAGATATTACCGCCGGTCAACACAGGGTCCAAGCAGGAGCAGCACTACGACTCCCCCCGTACATCCACATCCAAACGACAGCAGACTCAACAACAATCGGATCCCTCAAACCACAGAGGATACGGTTTCGACCGCACTAGACCCTACAGTCGATCGAAGGCACAGTCCGACGAACGCCGGCGGCTACGCAGGCAGCAACAGGCTCAAGAACAATCGGATCCCTCCAACCCCCACGTAGTACCACAACCGCGGGTTTTGTGGTACAGGTCGGTGTGACCGGTTGTGCCTGTGTGCAGTTGCCGTACTTTTTTGGCCGGCGCTGCATGTACTCGGGACGCTTCAAAAGTTTCGGCATCAGTGTGTGCTTGGGTGTACAGGGGGGCTTTGTGGATGTGTTGCCGCACAGAGAAATCGATGGCACGTAGCCCTTGGTTCCACAGTCGTACAGCACACACAACACCTGACGCTCCACGTACATGCGGTTCACCCGACCCTTCTTGGTATTAATGGGCAAATGGCTTTCGGGTGTGTCTGGCTTGCGCATAAGCTTAAAGTTTGTCTTGTTTGGCAGCGTGATTACAATGTGTGTGTCCTGCACCTCCAGGGTCTCAAATAGGACCCCCAGGTCACAGTATTGGCCGTGGCGGTCTTTGAGGTAAAACACGTTGTCTCTTAGGATGCCGCTCATTGTAGCAATGTTTTTTTTTAAGTTTTGTGGAACGAAACGAATGGTATAAAAAAATATATATATTTCTTAAATTTTTTATCGACCTTTTTTTGTAGTAGTTGATCCCCTTAAGTCCGTATTCAAAAAGTTATTCTTTTATCTTTTTAATTAAGTATTTTAATTTCATTCAGTATTCGTCACCTGCACACACATCTTCAGATCCGCACCAATCGTCATGAGTCGCAGCACGTCAAAATCGGTGTGTGTGTGTATGTGTATGTGTGTGTACATATATATATATGTAAAAAGAATTACATTTCCCGTGTGTCGGATCTGACCTATGAAGAACTTGTGGACACGTTCTTCGTGACATTTTCCACCCCATGGCAACAATGTACACAGCTATGCACATGGAAGTAGTGGCTTCCCCAGTGTCGGGGTGCTGGGTCTCGGAGACAATGGAAAGGACCATCCAAAGTCGCTACCAGACACGGTCGCGCTGGTCAACCTATACACCCCCGTCCGCAACTACGGGTTCCGACCGCCGAGTCTAAACTGTCCAAGAGGCGATGGTTTACAATGTACATGTAGAGGCGGTGTTTCTGATTATGAATGCAGGAGGAGCACTGGTAAAGGACAATTTATTTAGAAATTGGAAATTTTATCTAGAGGAGTCAAATGTGCGGCCTTCTTCCGATTGTACGCGCGCTCTTTTAATCACCTCGTCCACACGCATATTTCCTGTCGCTTTGCGCTTCTTATGTGGTACACTTTCAGTTTTCATTCTGGTCCAAATATCAACCACGATATTATAATATCCCAAGACGAGTGCGCGGTAGACGGTAGAGTTCGTTATAGGAACACCGGCGTTTCGTAGACCGACTATCGATTCAACTCTCGAGCGATAGTTGGGTCCAACAACATACTTGACGACCGTGTTGTAGGAACAACTTATTTTGTGATCCATCATCAGCTTGATACTACGTAAAATTTTCACCCTCGTCTCACTACTACCATCCAGTAGCCGGGAGACCAGCGAGCAGGAGGATATTGGAATCCCCTCGGCCTTTGCGGCTCGGATCACGCCAAGCATGTCCGCGCGAGCAGCTACATCACCATCCAGTAGACGGGAGACCAGCGAGCCGGAGGATACTGGAATCCCCTCGGCCTTGATCGCGCAGCTGCCGACCATCACGGTCTTGGGGGGCGACGAAGCCTAGTGGGGTGGCCCTATGGTGCGATGTGCTTTGAACTTGAGCAGGCTGCGGGCCCTTCAAGCAAACCCTACACCCTAAAGGCTCATAGGACACGATTGATCGATTGGTCGTCCATTTGCAAATCCAAATTGGATTTGTAAATCGAGTATAAGTAGTAGTGTTATCGTAACTTTACAAGTCACAAGTTTAGAGATTCAAGATATTCAAGACACACGGAAGAATGAAGGGAATCATAATCAAGAAGACGCCGCTGGACCTTATACTTGGCGGCAACAAGACCTGGGGGATCCGCGGTTCGCCAGCGACACACCGTGGCTTTGTGGGCCTAGTAGAGTCTGGGTGACAAAAGGTGGTCGGGTTTGCCAAGTTGGTAGACTGTATCAAGCTGGACAACGAGGTGTTTGCAAGCCACTCGGACCGCCACGGGTCGCAGGCCCTGCACAGTGGGTACAAGACGCCGTATGCGTGGGTCCTGGAGTCGCCCGTGCGGCTACAGCGAGCGCTCCCGTACCAGCACAAGCAGGGGTGTGTGATCTGGGTCAACATTGACGACTCTGTGGTTGCCGAGTCGATGGTGCAAGCGTACATTGACTCCAAAGCCGGCCCAAGACCACCCGAGGAGGTTGCCGTTGTTGCCAGGGTCCCCGAGCCCCGTCCGCTACCACCGCAGCCACGGCCTGGAAGGAGTGGTGGTGATCATTTGACAGTGCTTGAGCACCTCGAAAAGCACGGGTACGCCGTGGTGCCGACGGACCTGGACGTGGCGCAGGCGAGGGCATACTTTGACGCGGAGATTGCCAACTTCCCCGAGTTCAACGCCGACGCCAGCAAGTATGTACTGGGTGGCTTTGGGGCGCTCGGGAACCCCGCGTCGTTCCACAACCCCACTGTGCGCCTACTTAGGGTGTGGGCGCACGCGATCATCAGACCCCTCCTGGCGCCCCTGGCTGGAACACAAGGTGGGCCAATGTACTTTGAGCAGGTGGTCGACCGCATGATGGTGCGACAGAAGGGCGAATCGGCCTCGGCGGAGGCGTGGCACCGGGACGAGGCCAAGCTGGCCGGGGCCGACGATCTCGTGTTTGGGGGCTGGTGGAACCTGGACTCGACGGCTCAGTACTTTTCGTGCATCGCCGGGTCGCACAAGGTGGTGTCTGGCAACAAGGGGTTTGCAACCGTCAAGCTGAGCGCAGAGCTAAAGGCGCAGATGCGGCGGGACCGGACGAAGGTCAGTTTCGTGCGCGGTACATCAACACACGATTCCGTACAAGTTGTGTCGCAACACCGTTTTTTCAAGAAATTCGGAAAAAAAAGTTTCGTGCGCGGTACATCAGTACACGATTCCGTACAAGTTGCGTCGCCGCTCTTATACGCATAAAAACTAAATCGGTGAATGGTTTTATTTGCGAGCGCGAACATGGGAGTACCAACCAGGTTTTGTTTTTCCACAGTTCATCATTCAGCCTCGAGTGATGAACTCAACGCCACGCGCCGCACAAAAAAGTTTCGTGCAAGAAAATCGGGAAAAAAGTTTCGTGCACGGTACATCAGCACACGATTCTGTGCAAGTTGCGTCGCAACACCGTTCACATTTTTTTCAAGAAAATCGGGGAAAAAAAGTTTCGTGCACGGTACGCAACATCGATGACAATAATTTTCGTGCACGGAACACCAGCGGACGATTCTGTGCAAGTTTTTTTTCGCAACACCATTCACAATATTTTCGAGAAAATCGAGAAAAACAAGGTGTCACTGAAAGCGTGTGCAGAAACAGTCACGTTCGCGGTCTGCTTGTACACAATACCGTCGCGGACAAAAAGTGTCAACACACGCATCGGAGTGGCGACGTCATCATACGACTTGTCAAACTGTCCCTTCGAGACGCAGGGGAAACGGTCGGTGTCGTCAAACACACGCACGGTTATTGCCGCCAGTTCGTGGTCGTTTACCCACTCGTCGAAAGGCACACGCACGAGCTTCTTCTTGCCGCGTCGATTTTTGACGCGCTTGACCATGTCGCCGTCGCAGTCCATAAACCAAACGGTCGGTGCAAGTCCGGTCGAGCCGGTGGTTTTCTTTTGCTTCAAGGACACAACGTTCCATCGTGAGACTCGGTTTTCCAAAACCTGATTGGAGGTCCAGGTATTCTCCAGACTCAACACCGGCACGTTGTCGGCTGCACCTACAGTGTCTGGCAACTCGGCACGGCACTCGGGACACTGGGTGCTGGACTGCAACCAGCGGCGAATACACGTGCGGTGGAAGTCGTGTCCACAGGGCAGACTGGATACAACGTTTCCGTGGCCGTCTTGTTCGAGGCAAATACTGCAGTCGGCAATTTCCACGGTACAGTCGGGTAATGCTAGCACCGCCAGTGGATCGGCGGCCGATCCCTGTACGCACGACAGCGAGTGTCCGTCGATGCCCGATGGGCCGTTGATGGTGCGTGTCGGACCACCCACGTATTTGCGCTGCAGCGTGCGCAACTTGTGATGAATCAACCGCACGAGACACTCGGCCTCGGGTTCGTGGCGAACGATACGTTCCATGCACAGTACGGCCTCGACACTGATCGGCGAGTCGTCGTAGTCCAGAATAAAGTCAACCACGGCGTCAATAACTGCGAACCGGCCAATGGCGTCATGTTGATCATTAGGCATCATATTGTGAATTCAATTTGAAAGTTTGGAATGCCTTAAATACCAATTTCGGGTATGCGTCACATCATTCTCATACATTCATGAATCAGCTATAATTCGTGAACACCAGAGAATTGGTTTATTCTTGACACCTATTAATTTGTTCACACAGAGTAAGCGAAATCACGTGTACTTTCAACCAATGCCGGTTTCGAGCCTCGACCAATTGGATATCGGGACAACCTACTGTTCAACTTTGTGGACCTAACCAAGTACTATGTGATCGACTTTGGTCTGTCCAAGCGCATCGGAAAAACCAGCAACGGGGTATACGAATATTTTATACGTATATACTTGTGGGTGGATGTACTATATGCGTGTATATTTTATATGTGTATGTGTCTGTGTATGTGGATATATATTTTATGTGTGTGTCTGGGTATCTGGATATGTATATGGAAATATTTACGCGGGGTTTTTTTAAAAGAAATAATTTCATCTTTTCGACTAGAGATCCAGAATGATGCCGTCGTACTGTGATCCCTCCAGGTTGAGATTACCCGCAACCGTCGCAGTCTTCTTGCAACCCCAACCCCGTCACGGGCCAGCTGGCGTCGGAAGCACCCGTGGTACCTCCAACCATTGATCTCACCCCCAGCAAGGCCCCGGTGATTGTGGACGCCGTGAATCCCCAACCGACCACTGTTACCGTAGATTTCGCGACAGCAAGCTCGCCTTTGCTCGCGTTCTACCATAGGCACTGGCACGTACCATTGAGTTCGCGATAGCAAGCTCGCCTTTGCTCGCGTTCTACGATAGGCACTGGCACGTACCATTGAGCCTACCGTAGATTTCGCGACAGCAAGCTCGCCTTTGCTCGCGTTCTACCATAGGCACTGGCACGTACCATTGAGCCTACCGTAGATTTCGCGACAGCAAGCTCGCCTTTGCTCGCGTTCTACCATAGGCACTGGCACGTACCATTGAGCCTACCGTAGATTTCGCGACAGCAAGCTCGCCTTTGCTCGCGTTCTACCATAGGCACTGGCACGTACCATTGAGTTCGCGATAGCAAGCTCGCCTTTGCTCGCGTTCTACCATAGGCACTGGCAAGTACCATTGAGCCTACCGTACGATAGCAAGCTCGCCTTTGTGCGCGTTCTATCACCGGTGACCCTTGGGTGTGTGTACTACCCTCACACCAATACTACCGCACAGGCACGCACTAGGGCACGCACAAGTACTTACTAATAGAGGCCATATTGTCTCTGGTCCAGTGACTTGAACGGTAGACACTTACCTGTCGGTATTGATGGTACCCGAGCAAGCCACAGTCAAATCACCAGGTTATCGTGCTTCTGACGACAAAATTGCAAAAACCATCGCCTTGTGTCCGGCTCAAGCGGACACAAAATTGCAAAACCACAGCCTTAATTGCAAAAACCATCGCCTTGTGTCCGGTTCAAGCGCACACTCTCGTCGAAGGTCCCCAGCACCGCCGGGTATACGGTGCGACCGTATAGTGTATACGGTGCGACCGTATAGTGTATACGGTGCGACGACCCCCTAGGGCGCGCACAAATACTACTAGGGGCACGCACAAATACTACTAGGGCGCGCACAAATACTACTAGGGGCACGCACAAATACTACTAGGGCGCGCACAAATACTACTAGGGGCACGCACAAATACTACTAGGGGCACGACACAATTTGTGTCCGGCTCAAGCGGACACAAAATTGCAAAACCATAGCCTTAATTGCAAAAACCGCCGTCTGTGTCCGTTTGAAGCGGACACGTATCCGGTGACCCTTGGGTGTGTGTACTACCCCCACACCAATACTACCACACAGGCACGCACTAGGGCACACACAAGTACTTACTAATAGAGGCCATATTGTCTCTGGTCCAGTGACTCGAACGGTATAACCGTTCGAGTCATGCCTGTTGGTACCGGATAGGGCTCACGTTGTCTCTTGCGTCGTGACTCGAACGGTAGACTCTTACCTGTTGGTACTAAATAGAGGCCATATTGTCTCTGGTCCAGTGACTCGAACGGTTATACCGTTCGAGTCATGCCTGTTGGTACCGGATAGGGCTCACGTTGTCTCTTGCGTCGTGACTCGAACGGTAGACTCTTACCTGTTGGTACTGAAGGAGCTATATGTGGTGTGAGGCAGATTCCTGGTGCCCGAGCAAGGACGGTTCAAACGGACACAAAATTGCAAAACCACAGCCTTAATTGCAAAATGTGTACACAAACTAAAAAAAGGTATTATACATCTGACATGAAAAAAAGGCGATTTTACATTTGGCATGAAATAAAGGCAAAAATCAGTTTGGTATGAAAAGAAGGCATTTTTACATTTGGCATGAAAAAATGGTAAATATGCCACTAAATAAAGAGTATTTTGCGATGAAAACACGCGCTGCGTATGGAAAAATCGCTGTACTACGTTAAAACGTATTGCTACCAGCCAAGATAATTCCCTGTCATCGGCATTCATCCAAGACATTTACTTTCTGGCCTTGACCAGGCCCTCAAGATCAAGTCCGACAATTTCTTGTCACCAATGACTATACCAACATTTCTCTACTTCACAATTGTGAGTAAATCGAGACATGGCAGTATTTAGATCCCAATGCCGCCATCTTGGCCTCCGTCTCGTTCGTTCGCCGTTCCCTTTTATATAATACATGACTTCGTTGTCGAATAGACTTTACCATGTATCCCCTTCTTATTGACGGCGGGGTATGGTCAAAACCAGGTAAAACTTAATAAAGAATGTTAAGTCTGAAATAAGTGAACTCAGTCAGAAGTGCTATTAGGAATGGTGTTACTGCTATATTTATTAATCACGATCCTAAGTAGAACGAAACTTTCTCTACCATTGCGTTGTGTGAAAATACCCGTCTCTATGGTTTCAGTTGAGTCATCACTTCTATCTCATTAATTTCTCTAATCCATTAATCGGTCCGGTCCTCTGGTCCTCACCTCGAATAATCGCCTAGGTCCGGTCCTCTGGTTTGGACCTAAAATATTCCCGTAGGCCTGGTCCTCTGGTCCAGTCCTAAATTCCTCTGTAAGGGTAAATTATCTCCACACTACAGCTAAACATTTACTACTTGATGTTGAAACTGGACATACCTTCCCTCTTCTTCTCGCTAATGATTCAATGCTCACCCACGTTACCACCCGGGGAGTTCTTTCTGGCTTAGGGCTAACCTATCTCAGCCCTTTCCTTTCACAGCAAATAGTTGTTTCCCAAAATAGACTTCAGGACAGTGGGCACCGCTTTGAATTTTTCATCAACATGCGTATATGCCTCATTCATCACACAGACTCATCACTCTCATTACGCGAACAAAGGGAGGGTATAGCAGTACTTATCACTGGCTTTGAACGCTTGCCACACGCAATTCTCCACCGCCAAGTGACGCTGACCTCACTGACTCGGACGTCAAGAAGAATCGCCTCCTCCACCCGACAACACCTCTATTCCTTTGCCAGTCCCACCTGATACTTTTACTCCAACTACTCCGTCCGTGGCATTATTGCCATAATATTATTATTTTTTTAGGGATTTTTTTTTTAGGGATAATATTATTTGAATGATATAACACACTCCTTATGCAATACCGAACAAACATTTGCAAACAGTGACAGAGTCGTTACTGTGTTCTGATAACGGTAGTGAGTTTTGTACCGATGTAATGGAGGCACTTATACTCGTATCAGGCATGACACATAGGCGTGATGTTCCTTTTAAACCTCAAACGCAGGGTGCAAATGAGACTCGTCATAGAGAACTGAAGAAACTATTGCGTACCGCACTAGATGACGTTGAGGATATGTGGTCTTATCGTTTGAAATGGGTTCAGACTGAAATGAATAACTGCATGAATCCTCAAACCGTTTCATTATTTCTTTGGCCGCTATAGTGAATTGCAAGCAAAGTTTGACAAAACTGCGCCCGAGAAATACGTTACTCCGTGGCTACAAAAGTTCGAGCATATACAAAACGTTGTTTACCCCTGTTTACTCGAGCACAAAAATCACGTAATACTTAAAGCGTATGACAGATGGAATAACACTAAAAACATTGTTTAGTTCAAAGTTGGCGATTATGTTGACATTATAAATCGCAATGCTTTAGTAGCCGGGCCTCCACATTAGACTCTATGTTATAAACATACTCTTAAGCAGTACGTAAACTATAAACGTACTCTTAATAGTACGAGGAACTTAAGTTTCCTAAAATGGTTTTTTTTAACGGTTTTTATTGATTAAATACCTTTTCTATTTTACATATCAGATATTTGGATAAGGCCATTAAAGGGCCAGATAAAAATGCCAAAGATATGATTTGGACTATTTCTATTAATAGAACTATGTTAACTTCCAAATCTATTTATATCTGAATACTTCGGTAGCGAGATGGCTCAACCGAATATAGGTTTCTAGGGACTATTAGCGCTACCTAGTTTAACCTCCGTTCAGCCAACCAGATGTGCCAGTCTGATAAAGGCTAAGTCGGTAGTTCTTGATAAGTGGCAAGTTATTATTTAATGTTTCTAAAGATAAGATTTTATGAGTCTCTCGGATTCGCCCCAACAAAACACTCCATAGTTTCTAATAGAGCGACAACGAAACACTAAATAAAATCCCTTCGGCGAAAACAGTACTGAGAGGATTATATATAGGCAATGTCTCAGCCTCACAATCGCTCAGAGTATTGCTGTTTTCACGAGGCATACCTAACTTTACTAAAAGACTCATTTCGTTACTTATTTCGAATTTAACTATACTTAGACTTAACCTAAGCGTTAAATTACTCTAAGGCGTTAATATCGCCTTGATAGACTGAAACTTACAATGCCAACGTTACCGAACTCTTTTCTAAGACAATTGGACCTTTTGTTATTTCCTACCATGATGAGAAGAGTGATACCTACGAAGTGAATAACATAGATGGTACTAGCACAACTAATCTAGGCGCTCACCGTATCCTTACCTCCGAACTTTCATTCGCTCGCTCATTTGATTATGATGTCCCAGTTATGGAGTCACAAGTCAGAGATATAATTGACAAAACATCCGAAGACGGTAACACTTACTACAAGACCTGTTTTATGGATGGGACAGTAACTTGGCTAACCTCCGATGCGTTTTGTGAATCTCGCGACTTCCTTCGTATTTTTAATAAGAAATGAAATAAACGTTTACATAAAAACACACGAGATAAACGGAAAGAGTTTCTTCAGGTGACTACAACCCTTGATGGATCTGAAATTCCCTATTTGCCACCTACTTCCTATGTGACTAAACTTTCTGATCTGCTTACCAACAGAGCAGAAAGTTCTTCGAACATACTTACTAATGAAGAACAAACCATTGGCTATTACCTTACCAAGTAATAAACGTAAGGCGACTACATCGGAAATGGTTGCTGGACCAAATACTAAACGACATAGAGTACAACATGAGTCTTAAACTCGTACATATAGGCACATACTTACTCGATAAGCCATGACCGAAACCGTTGTACTTTGGTTTTTCGCTTTACAAACTAGATCGTATCTTAACGTACGTCCGTAGTCCTGAAAGCTACTGGGGGCTATGTAGAAATACAGCGTCCGGTCAGTCTAAAATATCAAGATCAAATGAGATAACACATTGGTTTTTATTTGTATTTAAAATAATTCAATACAAGTTCTTTTTCTAATATTTCCAAAGTGTTCTAAATTCACTTTGATGGCTCCAATAGCCTGAGTATTAGGTATGACTCATCTACCTGGACATATTTAAGACGATAGTAGATGTAGGATATTATAAACTAGATTTTTTTATTTCTGATCTACTACTTACAGGTTTTGGTCTTCCCGCCAATCTCCAAAATCCAACACGTCTGTTTTCTTTTTTTCTTCTTTTCTTCAGAAGGAACTTTATTTATATTAGCTAATGTATTAACTTGACTTACGTTCTTATGTCTATCTACAAATTAGACATGTGGTCATGAACACTTAGTACTTCTAGTGAAAATTATTCAATAAAGAACAGCTAGAGGTACGTCCTGTGTGATCGCAGATTTTAAGGCTCTTAACAAGAGGCAGTCCCGATCATTCGTACACAAGCTACCACTGCTAATTCCTAACTGACTTATATTGTATCTTAGTTTATACAACATAGTTTAAAAACATAGAAATATCCATCGAAGTTTACAACCCGGAATTTCCCAAACACTGGCGCGTCTGTATAGAGGGCAAGCTGAAACGAAAGGCAGTTCCTCATCACACCTCCGACACAATTTATGGGCCGGTCAAGCAGATTGACACTGACCTGCAGCGCCCTATGCCCGCTGACCGCTACGGCAACAAGTATACGTTGAACATGATTTGTGACGGCACTAAGTTTGGACTTCACAGTGTATTAATTACTCAACCAAAAAAACAGGCGCGCCACGACTTCCACGGTATCTGGAACCTCCACAAACACATTGAATCATTTCTTCAGCATGTAGAACAACCACCGTACTCTCACCCGTCTCTGACAAATTAGCAGATGTTCCCCATACCCCGGCTAATCATGCTGTTGAAGTACTACTTCCAAATTTCGGTCCAAACCGAGTCATCGCGCTTGTTGGTTCCGCCTATGATACTTCCGATCCCGGCCAGCCAGCACATACCGAGTGCATCCGTGGTCTGGTGCGGCATTGGCTCACCCCCAACTTTGCTCATCGACCGAATTATGACGGATAACCTGGTCCTACCCGGTATTCCGTACTCATCTGTCCACCCTACTATCCGCATACTACAGTCCCCGGCTTCCACTATCTACACCCTTCTCGAAGCCACGGCCGCACTTGATCATACGTTACCCAAAAGTATTAAACAAGCTCAACGCACACCTGAATGATCGTCATGGCTCTCGGCTATCCAAGCAGAACACAAGGCGCACATTTAGAACAATCTTGCGGACATAGTTACACCGGAACAGGTCCCACCGGTTACCAAGATCATTCATTCCTAATACGATCTTACACGAAAACACGATGAACACGAGAGTCCTACTATTTATAAAGCTAGGATGGTGGCTAGGAGCGGCCAACAGGTCGAGGGCGACTCATTTCATGACACGTATGCCCCAGCAGCCACCTCAACCACGCTGCGGACATTTCTTGCACAAGCTGCATTTTATGACTTGGACGTCTTTCACTTTGATGTCGACACAGCATACTTAAATTCTTACCTTGATACGCCGCTTTATATGCGCTCCCCCCCCCCCCCCCGTTGGTGCTGTCGAACTGGGGTTTTGTCCACCTAACACAATACTAAAACTCAAGCGCGGCCTTTAAGGCTTGAAACAAGCCGGCCGACTTTGTAACCTCGACATCAATAAACGATTTCAATCAATTAGGTTTACAGAAAGTGACGCTGACGAGAGTATTTGGTGCCACTCCAAACATCGCATTCTTCTAGTCCTATATGTTGATGAGCTTGCTCCCGCCGTTCCCCGCAATTCGTGCAAGGAAACTTGGCTGTTTTTTCAAATGGGCCGTGTGCGTTACCTTGTAGGTCTACGAATCCGACAAAACCCTGATCGCATTGAGATAGATCAACAGGCATACGTGGAACACGTACTCACTACATTTCACCTCAATGGCACAATACCAAAACACACACACCGGGTACCACTCACAACCCTGCCGACTCCACAACCGACTCATACACTGGCACAGATTCTTGACAGCTTTTAGGAGCTTTTGGCTTCGCCGCCAACCGTACACGCATCGATATCGCTGCCACGGTCAATGAATTAGCTGCCTTTGCCACTAAACCAGCAACGGGCCACATTGTCGCACTACAATGCATCCTAGAATACCTTAAAGCCACCAAAGACTTTAAAATCACATACCGTCGTCGAGCTCCTAATCAGACCATTGACTCTGCCCTCCAGGGCTTTACCGACTCCGATTGGGCCCGTGACTATGCTAATCGCCGCTCACAGACCGGTACCGTCATCTGCTTTAACGGTGCTCCCATCTACTGAAAGTGTTAGGGTGCAATGTAGTAGACTTTAAATAAAGTGCAAATGTATATATTTATTTCTGACCTCACCCTTGGTTTTATACCTAAGGTGTTTGTGCTAGTGTTCAGCCGCTTGGGCTGGCCAGGGTAAAATATCATATGGTCAGCATGAGAAACCTTATGCAGAACACCTTTAACACTTCGACGCTATTCTATTTCAACTTCCCTGCAACTAAATCTCACGCTGATCACATGATGTCTTTCGCATAGGTTGTGACTTACATACAACCGCAGCTATATTTAGAATATTGCGGTTGACAGACTTAATCTACTTTCGGGAATCGGTTGAGAAATTTAATCTGCTCTAGGAAGTCGGTTGAGTATTAACTCAACTCTTGAGGGTAAATTAAGCAACTTGATTAGCTCTCGGGAGTGAGCTAACTCTGATGACTTAGCTCTCGGGAGTGAGCTATCTCTGCTGACTTCCTTAAATCAAAGATGGTTTCGTAAAATCTGGCCTGAGACCTGTGGTCTCTCAGGAAGAGCGCCAAACAGAAAACTGTCGCCATCGGTTCTACCGAAGCTGAATATGTGACCGCGTCAGAAAGCGTTCGACATATTGCATGGATCCGTAACATTCTATATGCCATGGGATACCACCGGAAACTACCTACTCAACTTCACTGCGATAACCGAAGTGCAACCAAAGTCGCCAAGGGTACTGGCACCCCTAAAGGGCTCAAACACGTAGACATTCGCACGCACTACATCAGGGACTGTGTCGGTAAAAACATTATCGACATTGCCTACATTCCTACCAACGGCAACTTAGCTGATTTACTCACCAAAAGTTTGTCTCGTCCTAAGTACGAACTCCTCCGTAATCTTCTCCGGACTCCAGGAACCTCTGTTCACGATTCAGGAAGGTTTTTGGGCGCTGCCCAGGTTTTAGAATCACAAACATAGTTTTTCCTTAGCTTCAAAGTAGTTTTTTACTAAACTTATATATCTGAACACAGCATGATGAGATAAAGACAAATACTTATTTATATTCAATGCCAAAATATAACAAAGACACTTCTTGAGCAATCGAGTTTATATTGTCCATTTTAGAGGACGTGGGGGTTGAGAGTTGGAACAAGAGCAACAAAGTATTTGTTTTAAATAGATAAACTAAGGTTTTCACAAACCAAAAAGTATAAATTTAGTTTTGAATGAACTAATTTAGCTATTTTAATAAAAAAAATACACACCAACCTCAGACCGAACCCTACTACTAAGGATGATCGACTTGAATTTCTTACTGTGTTACTGTTTCACACGCGTGTATTCGTTTTCCGGTAACGAACATCGTGTCTACCATGGCGTCTATCTACTAATCAAAATATACAATAACCGCGAATGAAGCAATCATACACTGCATGCGAATCATGATCAGTCAGGTCAGGTTGTATCATAAGCATTCCACGTTGATATTCAGATATGATCGCTTTGGGAATACGATCATAGGTCATGTAATCACACCAACGACTAAAGTCTTTGAGGTTGAGAAATTTGTTGTGTGTATATATGTGATAATATTGAATAGGATTTCGTATAGGTTTTACAACTCTTGCCAAGCGCTACAAAACTTCAGCATCGCTGGATGAAGGTAGTATTATCCAACATTGTCTCCTTCAAAGATGTAGAAAAATAAATATATAGCCTTCACTGTGCTAGGATTCTCTGCGTTACTGCCCCAAAGCCTAAGTGATGTCATCTAACTTGATCCGTTCGACGTTGTTCTGCCCTCCCGTCTGCTTGATTGTCACCGCTTTGTATTTTTACGCATGGCCAACCTGTCACTCATATACAATATCTCTTCATTATTGTATAGACAGAATTCACCATTTAAATTTATCTGAGTCCTATTGCAGAATTGACAGAGTGTACCTGTTCTTGGATACGGAATAGACCACAACGTCTTGAAATATTCCTTTACGTATCGGTCCCAATATGGAGGTATGATTGAAGGATTACATGAATCACCTAAGTTTGTTCATATATGAGAAGTACCAAGTGTATATTTATACTGATAAACAATAATCGTCAGATACGAGAAATAATGAAATGATCGCACAGGCATTTTGTGAATTAACATTTACTTATTACTTACCCCATAATTTTCTATCTCAAGACGATGACCGTGTTAATTGGTCTCATCACTAAGATTTAAATCGCCAACCCTGGTTGGCACCGCTTCTAACAAGTCGTCAAAAAAGGACATGAACGTCACGATCTCACCTTTAGAATTCATTCTGGAGGCCCTCCCCTGCAATCTAGATTTTGTACGTCTGGACAATGAAATGATATATACTATTTGATAGTGAAATGATTTTTACTGTCTAACATCATAGTCTGTTGTGAAATATAGGCCGGGTTGACTGATAGAGTACTAATATCAGTATCAAACAGATCCAAAAGATGACCTGGACTCTTGTCCGTTTTGACCACACCAAGTTGTAAAATCAGCGGGTTCCTATAGTAGAAGGACATGTTAAACGTATATTATGAACGTATGAATGTTTCAACACAATACGGTTATAAAACCTGGTATACGTTGTAACGCAATTGTAGATACTTGTAACCGTAAAATAATCAAATAACCCAATTATAGATATTTTGAAATGCAGAAAACAAAACAAACATACAAATAATCTAATAATAGATATTTGGGAATATAAATGTTTACAACAGAGGACGGAGACTCTGTTAAATGTTGATATTGATATGGTGGTATTTCTATATTTGATATGTTTTCCACCAGAATAATGGGATAAAATAATCGAGGGGTCTCAAGCAAAATTGACACTGGATGACATATGCTTTATTTCCAAATACTCTCAGCGCGAGATAACTCACTGAGAATTGGGGCATGAAAATGATCCCCCCTAGCCAGCCAACTAGATTTTCCCGTCTATGCCTTCAATGGGAAGGAGAGCTAGGTACCATGTGATGGGGTATAGGTGCAGACTTTTATCTGCACTAACATGGTTTTTTTGATTTATTTTGATTTTTCTTGAGTTGGACTTGGATATTTTATTGGTAATTCCGATTGGAGAATTCAGAATTGTTTCGAAGCATGAAATGATATGAGAATGAAATATCATGCATCCAATGAAATGAGATCTTATCTTAGTTATTGACACCAAATAAATCTAGACCGAAGTAGTGAGTGATTAGAGCGGAGCATATAGACAACAGTCTCAGTCTAAAATCCGCTAATCTTTAGCTCAAGGGCTGAAGCTAAACTTAAATTACATTGTGCAAATTTACTTCTATATAGTATTTTCTTTTACAATGACTTGTTGACATCGATAGTCCGCCTGGTTAACCTGACTTTTACAAAGTCAGTTTTGTAGATTACGGGCATTATAGAATTTCTTGATCCAAATTGTGGGTGTCCAATATTTTGAAATGAAGGAGTGAAACAAGCCTCAGCAGTTGAGCTTGGCGCTTATGAATACATCACCGTCTAGATCATTCGACCTTTTTCTGAACGACGGAGAGGATCGGACTGCAAATTTGCACCGCTGATGTTTTTGTAAAATAGGAAATTGATAAAGCACCTCAAATAAATATCAAGGCGACCAATGGGTTT